GTTTAAAATTTATACCCGGAAATAATTTGGCGGAGGTGGTGGGGGGGGGGGGATAACTAAGGTATGTGTAGGAGGATACATATATAGGGGACATGTCGATTCATGATTGCTTTTATTCCACGGGGAACTGGGTTCCGAGGGTCCGATTGGGGAGGTGGATGTCAATGGTATGGAGTACCATTGGGGATCTCGGTGTACTGAGACGGCATTTTGTTAGGGCCTGCCAGTTGACATGGAAGGGGAACTTGGACTCTGGAGGAGAGAGGGAAGCGACCGGTGTCGTCCCCTCGTTATTGGCCAGAGAGTTACCTTCCAGACTTCGTGGAAAATAATAATAAAAATGACACTTCGGAAAAATACAATAAACCGTTCCGATCTCTCTCTACCCAGTACCTTCGTATGTCCGTACTGGTCCAACACTCGACGCGGTCGATTCCCGTGGTCACAGGTGAACTTACCCTAAAAAGGAATACACTCAAATAAACTGGCCCCGAGGGGTCCGCAAGTCAATAGAAATCAACGACATATATTCTGGAGTCCTCCACTCCCTCTGCGCGCTATGCGAGGTATCAACTGAGACTAGGAGTCACTATCACGGGCCGGAGAGAAAGAGGTACACCCCCTTGGTTCAATCTTGGTACTTCACAATGCAAGCAGAGACAAGGCCATCTGGCACAGAAAAAGAGAGAGAAAATAAAAGAGAAAAAATGAAAATAAAAATGAAAAAGGATCAAGGATCCCCTTGGTGTACGTTTCGGGTGGAATTACTTGTTACACGTTGAGATACACGCCGGGCATATGTGCCCCACCCCTGTCAGTTGTCAACACCCAAGCGAGCGAAGCGAGCAACCAAATGAAAGTGAGCTTACGCGTGAGTTTTGGAGAGAGATTATCCACGTTCGACCCCTCTGATGCTGCAGTGGTCGGGTGTGTCCCACACACACACGATGTGGCGTGCAGAGCTCACCGCGTTATTTATTCTGCTCGTCGTTCTGTTCGTGGCTTTGATTCCGCTCCGCGAATAATAGCCCATGGTGCAAGAGCAGCTGCTCGGTCTCAAACTAATAAAGGCAAACGCCGTTAACCGGCTCGCCTAGTCGCTAACCGTCACCACCATTGCGTAGCAGCAGCACCAACACTCTAAAAAATATAACACTTGTAGCCGACATGCGCCGGTAGCCACATCATCATTGATTCTCAACCTACGGCCCGGTCACCATCGCCTAGATCCTGCATCCTCAATGCACTCGCCCGGCTCTCTCTCTCCCTTTCTTTTGCCCTTCCCGCTCTCTACACACCCTCCCTCTTCACACGGAGCACGTGTGTGAGGCCATCGAATGCTTCGTAACCCCTACTATTATATATAGACAATGAATAACTTATTTTCCGCGCGCACAGCGCATGCATCCGGTCCATGAACACCCTTCAGCTCTCGTGGCTAATAATTAATGTGGAGAATGCTCTTCACGTCTGCTTGTGTGTGCAACTATTTAACATCATTCCGAAGCGAGAAAAGATCGCTACGGGTACATACACGATATCTGTTTTCGCAACCCCTCCCTCCCATAACAAAGACTCACGTGTCACGAGATTAGATTCTTCGCGTTTGTGATAAGGACGACACTATGACCTCAGTTCCCGAACACGTTTCTTTTTGCGCTCTCGACTCGACTCGACTCGACTCAACAACACCAGGTACCTGTTCGTGAGGTGGATTATGCCATCCTTGCGAAGGCTACTGCGGTAGGTAGTACTCATCATGTGTGGTTTTGAGCTACCGTATATGACACAAGATAACACACACCCTGGACCGATTTTCAAAGCTCGATTACTCCACGACGAAGAGGATGCATAAATGAAACAATACGTTTTCGAACAGCTCTCGACGAGACGGTTCCAACGCCGCCGTTTTCGGCGCTGTGACTCTTCCTGCTGTTGAGAAATCGAGGTTTGAAAATCGGCCAAGGGGGTGTGTTATCTTGTGTCATATACGGTATGCAGGTGCGCAAGTGCGTGACCGTCCATCGGTCATTTGGATCTTCGGGGTATCTCCGGTAGTAGGATATTTGGCAAGTTGTCGCGCGTTCCTTGCTGTCATGTATTCCGATTTCCAAATGCGTCTTGCGACTGTTGCTCGCGTGCCTCGGTGTTTGTGATGCACCCGCGTGCCCACTCTCTTCCGTTGCGTGTGTCTATGAGGACGACCAATAAAACGACTTTACCATCTCTTCACATTGTCAACCGGGACAGCCGTGCTCATCCAGCAGCACTCGGCTTGGGGCCAATCAACAGTAGTACCCTTGTCCCTCATCATCCCGAAGGAGGCAAGCAGCCGCGGCGGCGACGGTAGCGGCGGGGGGGCGAACGGAGGGGGGCATCCTCAGCTCCACGGAACGGCTCATCGGCAGGGCCGTGCCATTCCTGCGTAGCCTGGAGCACGTCGCACCTATGAGCGGCGAGCAGCTGATGATGGCGCGCGGGCACTTCTGCCCTTCCCACGGAACCCCCCGGTCGCCGTCGAAGAGGGTGCTGGATGTCCTTCTGCGGGGCCAAGGCGGTGGTGTTGCGAGCTTCTCCAGCTCCACCGGCGAGTTTCTGATGGGGGCGGCAGAAGAAGTGCCCGCGCGCCTGCACCAGCTGCTTGCCGCGCAAGGTGGCTTGGTAAGCCGGTGCTACTAGCCTCATGTGTGTGGAGGTTGTTTTGGCATTCTCTCTCGCTTGTTTCGGAAACCAGAGAAGTTGTGTTGGACACGCATCTCCCGGAGGTTGTTTTGGCATTCTCTCTCGCTTTTTTCAGAAACCAGAGAAGTTGTGTTGGACACGCATCGCCCGGCTCTCGAGTCATTTGTTGCTGTGCGAAAGAAACCTAAGCGTTTTTCTTTTCATGGTTCAGCTTCCATCCGTTTTAGTCCAGTTATGATCACTTCAGCCCCAAAGACTGGCTACTCTTGTGTATGCGCGTTGGTCGTGTTCAAGACCCCCTGAACTCAGTTCCCCGAACACCATTTGTTGGATGCTCTCGACTCAACTCGACTGGACCATACCATCATGTGCCCTTCAACTTAGACGAGTACCACGGCCACGGCGGCGACGGCAGCAGGCAGGGGAGGAACGGGGAGGGGGGCACCCTCTGCTCCGCGGAACGGCTTGCCCTGCGCAGGGCAGCCCCATTCATCGGCAACTTCGAGCAGAGCGCACGCATGCGCGGCGAGAAGCTGGTGGTGGGGCGCACTATTTTCTGCGGAACCCACAAAACCCACCGCCCCATGCTGAAG